GGAATGCAAAACATACTTGCAATGTATCCTTATGGATTTTTAAATATCCATATTTAAATTGTAACCATACTGTCCAATAAATGAAATTTAAGACAAAAAAACTTCATCTTTTTACAAGTCTGCTTCAATGTCATTATCACCACTAAAATAAAGGAAGGGGAGGAGGATATATTTTATTGCAAGGACGCTCATTAAACAAGTTAAATACCTTTTGAAAGAATATTGCCTGGCTGCCAGGTATAGTGATGTTTTTTGTTATTGTTATAAAACCCACGAAGCAAGGCACTTACGGTGGGGTGCGAGGTATCAGAGACATCTTTGGGGTTGAATTTTAGCCATTTACAGTGCAACAAAAAGCCAACCCAGGATCCAACCTTCACACAAAGTGGGCTACAACCCACGCGCCACCCCCCGCCACTTATGTTCTCCCATGAGGAAGCTAATCAAGGATTTTACACCATGGACTGTGGGAGCAGCAAACGATGCTGCCGAGGTGGCTGCACCCCCGACTGCCCTGCAGGAGCAGTAGTCAAGGCCCCAAAACAGGTAAGAAGCCCACCCCGTTGTCCTGCCTGCTCAGAGGCAAGACCACTTCCCTCTCCGCTTTCCTTCATCTGCTGTGGCCGCCGCTGGGGAAAGGCGACCGCTTGTCCTAACAACTGCCATCTCGGGGTGCCTCTTGCCCAGTCCCCAGCAGGAAGCAGACGCCGAGCGGACAGGACACCACCAGGGGTGTTCCCCTGCTCCTCCCTCACTTGCAGTCTCCGGCATTTGAGGTCTAGGAAGCTCCGATTCAGGGAAGTTCCGTGCTGGGCTCAGCCTGGGACCGCGGTGGGAAACGAAGTCCCGGTCCCGGGCGGAGTCCACGCAACACAAGGGACAGAAGTGGCCCCACCCCTACCCGGGAGGGCGCGGGAGGGGGAGGAGACTACCCCCTCGGAGCCCCCGGCGGCGGCTGCCCCGGCCCGGCCCCTACCTTGTAGCCCTTCCAGTAGAGCGTGTCCTGCGTGACCTTCTCGCCCAGCCTGGGGAAGGGCAGCACCGCCACGGGCTTGTAACTGGCCATCGCTGCCTCAGGCCTGCACCGGGCCCCGCGGTCCCTCAGCGGCGCGCAGTCACGCGGCGGCCGCCGGGGGCCCCCCCGGGGCGCCCC